AAAAGAGAGAGGAAAAGATGAGGTTGTACAGTTATCATCCAAATTTCTATGTTTTCAAACTGCTAGTGTTTAATTAGGAAAATATGACCAAAATTCTTCTGTTCTTTAGAATAATAATAATAATAAACACTTTGGAAAGCACTGCCATTTATAATCTCAAACATTAATGGGCAATGAACTATGTAATGCTGCGGATCTGAGCAGTGTTTAAGACAACAAAGTGTTATTTGATAGTCTAGTCTTCCTGTGGAACAGCTCTTCTTCCTGCCTTTGATGTGTGGATGGTTTATTTAATCAATTATTAATCAAAGTTAGGGCATTCTTCTTATATATTTAGGTAAAAACTAAAAGATGCCTTTTCTTGCTTTCTTGTTTAAGTAAAAGTTTAAATAGAATGTGGAAATAATACTTGCTTTTGAACAAAAAATACATACTGGAGAGCTTCCAGTTTCAAGCATGTGAGCAGTATATCACATGTTTAGGAAAAAAAAAAAAAAAGAAGGGGAAAAAAAATGGAATGTTTCTAAGTTTTGTAGCTCTGCCAAAGGCACCAGAAGGTTTCTGCTAACCTGCCTTGATACAACAAAAAGCAGGACAAATAATCTGATTAGTGTTTTCTTTAATGGGTGCTGAACCTGGTGTAGCAGTGGTGCTGCAGAGCAGGGCAGGCAGCCGGACACTCAGTGCATGGAGCATCTTGAGCAGTTGGTAACATTTGGCAGCTTAACACAGAGAAAACGACTGCTAGGGAAATCTCAACTGCTGCTAATTAGCAGCAATGAACTGTGGGTAAGGACAGTACATTTTAATGTGAGAAGAATTTTACAATAACCACCACACTGAAAGAAATAGGAAGAAATGCTCCCTAGCTGACCCTTGTGGCAATCTAAGCTGCGTATTGCAATAATCCTGTAAATTACTATGCTTTTTTATACAGTAACTTGGAGTTAATTAGTAATTTAACATTCCTCTAAGCTATTAAATGTCTTTCTTGCATTATATTATGTTGTTTCATGGTCTTACCTTAACACTAATGGGGTTTAGTTATATTTTCTCAAAACAGTAACAGTAAAATAAAATCGAGCTGGAAAATTAATTAGTTCTCTTTTACCTTTGATTTACCTGTTAGTAACAATTAAGCGGCAATGTACAGTTTTGGAGCAGTAGGAGGTTACGCAGAGATTAATAGACTCTTGGGATGTGCTGCTGGCGTTGGGTGGGGGATGAAGATGAGGAGTGGGTGAAACGTTGGGGACTGTGCTGCAGGCACTGCAGGCTCAGGGCTGAGGTGAGCTGAGGCAGGCAGGGAGGCATCACATATCCTGCATCACCCCCCCACCATTAGTGCTGGTGCTCAGTGATGGAGACTAGTCGAACTTGGCAAAGCATCACTAGGGGCTTGCAGGCTGGGGGAAGCATCCCTGTGATGCTGGGGAAAGCATTTGCTGGGTAAGGCTGGAGCTATGTGCAATGTGCAATTTATTCATTCTTCTGTGTTGTCTTTGCAGCTGCAGGAATCCATGGACTAATTAGGGTAACCAACAATGATGAAACATGTGATCTGACTAAAGTTTAGGACATGATTATGTGAGGCATCAAGGAAAGGAATCTCTCAGATTAATCCAGCATGAATTAAAAGTTGGAATGCTTTATTGTCTCCCTTTTTACTTAGTAGTCATCTTTTCAGCTGCAATATTTGCTTCCTTTAAAGCCATCAGAGTAGTCAGGCTGCTAAAGACAGTTTTCTTGCTGGCTGTTTATGAAACTGAAGTGTTTGGGTGTGAGAGAAGGTGAGAGGGTGTTTTCATTTTCAGTCAGAGAGATCAAGGTGGGCACCATGATGGCATGATTCTGTGGAAGCGGCTTTGGAAGGAAGGGAGAGGGAAAGGCACGCACTCAGGAAGGGCTGAATTCAAGAGCTTCCTGAAGACTTTGTCTCTTGGGGCTCCTGCTAAAAGCAGCACTGCTACCATTTAAAACCCCATTCTTTGCAGCTGGATTTGAGCATCCATAAAAAATTTATCCCTGCTTTAAGAGATTTCTGCTTTTCTGTCCTCCCCATTGTTAGACAAATTGAAGTGTGCACTCTGAAGGAGTGCGGCAGTGAACTGAGAATTTATTTACTCATTCGATTCTAATATTGAGAGAATCTGCTCTCCCCGTTCAAAGGGTAGAGCAACAATGCGAGTGACATCGGGTCAGCGGCACTTCACAGCTACCTGCGAGATAGAATTGTTCTCCTGGCAGATAGGAAGTGACTGAATCCTCTTTTTCTCATCAATGTCTATTATGATTGATGGCTCTATGGTCACACTGAATATGCCCTTTTTAAATAATTCACAATGTCATCATAGTACTAGTTTATAACTAGCCTGTTATTTTTACCTTTGTTCATTCACTAACAGGAGATTCGATAAATTAAGTACTATGGATTTGGGGAGCATTAGAACTGATTGAAACATTCATTTTTCTTTCTGTTTTCTTTTCTTGTCCTTTTCTTTTTTTCTTTTCCCTTACAAGGTAAAGTCTTCCTGCACACAGTAACAAAGATTTTTAAAAAGCCACAAGATTCAAGTATGATAATTCATTAAAAAACAGCTTACAAAATCTACATCTTCTTGCTGATGACATTAATTAAAATATAAAGAAATCGCCAAAACAGTGCAGCTATCTTCACCTAGCTTGGATTAGATTTCGACTGCTATTCAGAGTGCAGTAAGAATGTGTTATGGACATCACAAATGCATATCGTAAGTTCAGGATGAGAACTCATCCTTAATTGATGCCAAGTATTATTCTTCGATTGTGCTGGACATCGTCCAAAAAAAGGGTGCTCAAATTGTATACCTGAATTATTTTATCATGTTTAATGGGTAAAATACTTAAGAGTGTACTTTGCAAATCAGATTTTATTTGTTTAACTTTGAAATTGGGGCTTAGTAAGTCATATTAGGTAGTAGTTGAGTATTTGTCATTTCTCACATAATGGTTGAATGCTGCTAATAATCAGTGCATGATAGCAATAATCGTATCGATTTCCTTGCCAAGGCTTTTTAATTAGAAGGTTTTAAACAATATTTACATTGCTTTGATTATTTTTTGTTAAACAGCTGTAAGTAAACATCTAATTCCTGCGATACTTGTGGTTCCCTCCACTGTCCCATTATCACATCAGGCCTGTGCCAGAGCCTTGCGGCGGTTCTATGGGACACCACTGAAAGGCATGAAAGAACGTCAGGGTATTTGCAGCAGGTTCCTGAGCAGTATTAAAAGGTCACAAGAAGCTTTTCTTGATGTAGGAACATCACCTTTAATGCAAAGGATATGGAAGAAAGTGTCCTTGGAAGAGTATGAGCTCCATCAGTTCAGAAAGGCCAACATTGTCCCCAGAATTGGAGTGCTGCTGCCATTGCTCCTCACCAAACCTTGCTGGGCCAGCTACCAGGAGCCTTCCTGTGGCTAATATGAATGGGAAAGCCTACAAATGCAGTGAATATAGAATAGCTGAGGTCTGTGGATCTGCTTCTCCATTTTACACTTGCTTGTTGCATTGGTACCTCGCCTAGATGGCTTAGGTGTGAGCCTTAGGAGCACCAGTATAGAAAAAGAGTCTTATTCATGATGGTTTCCAGAATCAATATATTTAGAACTTTCTATGTGTGCTGTGAATGAGGCAGGATGCCTTCAAACAGGAGTGGGATTTTTAAGACTCTGCAGTTACAGTATAACAAAGTTTTATATATTAAAGCAGACTAAGCTTTTGGGAAGTCACCAAATTTGTGATACCCATTTTCACTGTTTTTTTGGCACAGTCATGGGCAGCCAGCTGGAAACTTTCAGAATGTGCATTCACCCATGGCATTACTCTCTCTTTTACTCTGGGTTTAAACTTTGTATGTGGTAAACCCTCAGCAGCTCACTAGGGCTGAGCATAGGTATGTTCTTCACTGGTGTCGTGGTTTAAGCCCAGTCGGCAACTCAGCCACGCAGCCCGCTCACTCACTTGCCCCCACATTCCTCCCCCTGGCTCCCGGAGGGATGGGGAGGAGAATTGAAAGACTGTAACTCCCACAGGTTGGGATAAGAACAGTCCAGTAACGAAGGTATAACACAAATCACTATTGCTACCACCAATAATAATGATGATAAGGGAAATAACAAGGGAAGAGAATACAACTGCTCATCACCCGCTGACCAATATCCAGCCTGACCCCAGCAGTGATCTAACCCTTGCTGGGTAACTGCCCCCAGTTTATATACCGGGCATGATGTGCTGTGGTATGGAATGCCTCTTTGGTTAGTTTGAGTCTGGTGTTCTGTCTCTGCTTACTCCTGGCTCCCCTCCTCCCTGGCAAGAGCATGAGACTCAGAAAGTCCTTGGTCAGCGTAAACATTACTGAGCAACAACTAAAAACATCAGTGTTATCAGCACTGTTCCCAGGCCAAAAGTCAAAAAGCACAGCACTGCACCAGCTACTAAGAAGGAGAAAAGTGACTGCTACTGCTGAACCCAGGAGAACTGGGTGTGTGGAATGTTTTCCAGCTTCAGAAGTCATGGGGAGAAGGTCCCTGCCAGGTGCAGATCAGCTTCTCCATTCCTGTGTGTTGCCCTCCCAGAGGATGCTGTGGAAGGGCCTGGGCTCTTGCTTTCTACAGCCGTCGCAAGCGGGATCTGGAATGTGGAAGGAGAGTGTGGAAGGGATAACCCAGAACTGATGGAGTTAGAAGTTGGTAATTAAGCTTCTGATGATGTATATGAGAACTTTTGATCTTTGATTTGCTGTTCTAATCTATCCAAGGTGCATATACGAAACATCTTGACTTTCCTTAGCTGGGGAGTCTTTTTCTGGTCTTGTTTTGAGTTTTGGGATGTGTTGGTGTTTTGGGTTGGTTTGAGTTTCATTCTTCTTTGTGTTTGTTTTGGGTTGTTTTTTTTTTGTTGTTGTTGGGATTTGTTTTGGCTGGGTTTTTTTGTTTGTTTGTTTTTTTTCACCCATAAGGAGCCAAGAAGCCAGCTGCCTCTACAAAGATTCAAATTTCAGAGATCTTCAATGATACCTCGTGGTAGTGGTGATGATGCTGTAGCTCTGCAACTCCCTCTAGGACCTATGGTAGTAATTAATAAGAAGTCAAATTCTCAACTAACTGTGACAAATTGGAAAGCTGTGAATTCGGAGATAAGAGTGAAGGGTCACAGTTTATTTGTAACTGGGTTATTGAATCATAATAAGCACTTACAGCAAAAGCACCATAAAAGAAAATAGTAAGGTACAAGAACCCAGAGTAATTGGGTTTTCCTATACAAATAAGATCCATGTAGCAAAAGAATTTCCCTTCGAAGGAACAGTTATAAATTTGGGGTCTAGACTTTCCATTAGCCCCTCATCTTTACTAGCCCATTGCAAGATAGATAAAATTCATAAAACATCCTCAAGGTTTGATATTGTAATCCTATTTTGTTATAACATTATTTCTCAATGTTCCCCAACGTGACTAGAAAAAAATAACAAAATTGCAAGAGGAAAAATACAACATTTTACCTCTTTCATGAAAATATAAAAATTAGATTATTTTTTCTTTCAATTTTTTTTTATTTTTAATTATTTTGTGACTGATTCTTAATAATACTAAAATTCCATTTTTGTGCACCATAGGCTTAGGGAGTTGACCCGAAAAAAAATTAAGTAAATAAGGAAAAAAGTGTAATAAGGAAACTAGTAGTTTATTTTCTGGGGTCATGTATATGACAGTTGGAGTGTTAATAAAGGTGTAGCAGATAACTGCAAAACTGCTGTCAGCTTTAATATATTGCTGGGTTCTTGTTTAATTTTATTTTTCACCAGGATTTAGAAGCTAAACATTACTAATGCGTTTTTGCTTATGTGTATTCATTGAGAGCTATTTACAAGGTCATTTTAGGAAACTAGCTTGGCTCCTGGAAAATTCAGTATCATTTTGAGAGCACCTGTGAACAACGCAAGTCTTCCCATCAGCAGGTGGGAAAGTGGAGGAGGAGAGAGGCAGGTTAGGATGTTGGCTGTTCCAGCTCTCAGCGAATCATCGTCCCAACACATCATGGTGCTTGTTTTAATTTTACAGAAGCCTTTCTGTATTCGCCTCTCCTGTTGAATGCATTGCCAGGGTGATTATTAGTCCACTTAATCCCTGTTGTATGACTTCAGGTGCTGTTGGATGCCACCACGGTGTTCAGTCCCCACACAATCTGTCCCAGGGAATTCTCACCCAACTTTCCCATGCCTACCTCAGCTGCTGTTTTTCCCATGCCTGCATCATCTGCTGTTTTTAGGTGGTTTTCTTTATACAAGCAGTCTGGGGGTTGTTTTTTATACACTTTGCTCTGAATCATTCCCCTCTCACACCCTGCTCAGCAGCCCATAGCCATGGGACAACCTCAGCTCCTGGCTGGTATGCAGTATAACCAAGGATAATCTATCCCTGGATTTCTCCAGCTTGAAGCCCAGGTAAACCTGGTCCTGATAGGGACCACTTCAATTCCTGGGAAAATACCGGACTTTTCAAGTATTAACCTGATTACTTTTGGTTTCATTCACACCCCTGCATAGTGTGACTTCTCAAAATATTTCTGGCGCAGGCATAGCTATAAGTATTTGTGATTTTTAATACAGTATTTATGAAATGAGAATTAGCTAATAGGTGGTGTTGCCTGTGGTGGAGTCCTGAACTCCTCCATGGAATTTTCCATGGAGACAGAGCAGATCTCTTGCAGGGGCACTATAAACTGCATGGGGTGAATTACTCCTGCTTCACCAGGTCTGTGGAAAATTAGCTGAGTTTTCAGAGGCAACAATGATAATGTTTTGATAGAATTTATTATTTTGTTTTATTTATTTTATTATTTTTGTGGTTGATAGGAAGGTGGAGATTTGTGCCTATGCTGGTGGACAGAGCAGTTCCCAGGGCTGCTGAGTGCTGAGCAGGGGCTCTGTTGAACACTGATCTGAAACAGCCAGATCAAGAGATGATGCTTTTCAGCAAGAACCAGCCATTCCTCCAGGAATGTTTGGAGGAATGTTTGCCATGTTATTAAAACCATTTTCCACTCCTTTTTTCATCCACTGCTTAGGAGACAACTGCCAATTTAGGCTGAGATTTTTCCCTTCAGATGTACAGATGAAGAGCTCACACCATGCCTCAAATGTGGGCATGCACCAGAGGTCTTGGAGGGCACGTCCTGTGTGAGTTGTAGCTCACGTTCCACTTTTGTAAGGTTCCACATATCAGCATCGGTCTGAAGACTGTGGTAGTGTTACATTTGTTTGGTTGCATACCGTTTGGGATGGAAGTTCACCATGCTTATAGTGAGATATACATACTCTATAAAAAATCAACTGGTGTACCTAAGGAGGGATTTATCAGTAATAAAGAGCTCTGGATAATGAAGTCAAAACAAACACCATCTTTCTAATAGATTTTTTGTTTGCCCAACATGACAGAAAATCTTTTATACCCACCCCACCATGTTTTTTGAACATGAAATTTTGCCTAAGTGGAATAGGCAGGTATGGCCATACCCCCTTGCTGTCACCTCTCTGAGCAGTTTGGCTGCTGGAGAAGGCCGTTTTCTTCTTATTCTGTGACTGTCCCTGTGGTAGCATCGAGCAGAACTTGTCCCAGCTGGCAGAGCATCCTGGGGACAGAGCTGGCTGGTGTCAGGGAGTGGGGATGTAGGGTAAGAAGATGCCTGGTGGCCATGGTCCTTCTGGCTGCCCACTGACTGTCTGGTGGCAGAAAGAACAAAATACCCGCATGCATGACAAATGCTACTGTTGTAGAGACTGGTTGTGAAAAATCACTGTTAGGTGGGGCTGCCGTGTGTGTCTGATTCACAGTCTTTAGTTTATGAAAATTATAATTATTTTGATTTTTGTCCACAGACAGCTTGAAATGTTACAAAACTCTGCAGGTGCTCTCTGTTATAACAAAACCCCAGAACAGATGGTGCAAGGTACCAGGCCAGCTCAAGGGATTAAACACAAGGCTTTTGAAATTTAAAATTAAAGCTGGGTGATCTTGGGAAAATGTACCTGCCAAACAAGCTTGCTTAGAAAAAAAGTTTTCCAAGTTCTCCATACAAGCTGATTTAAATTCAAATGAGACAAAAATTGGGCACTTTAAAAGTGCTTAAGAGAGGATTAAAAGTCTGCGATCAAGAAAAAATGGGATGTATATGAATTATTTGTTGTTGCAGGAGGATTTGGTGTCCAAAAGCACATTTTCTCTTCATTTTCTCAGTAGCGCTTCAGTGGATGGTATGGGAAAGGCTTTACTAACCTTTCCATTGTCTGCTGCTCAAAGTATGAATGAGACAGTGATTACACAAAGCCAGGCAGCCTCACCAGTGTTGTTGTTAGCAGGAATAATCTCCCCAAGTTCTGTAGTAGGGGTGCCCAGTGGTGGGACCATCCCAGAAGTGCCCCGCACTTGTTTCCTCTCTTGCTTTGTGGCAGCTGGGAAGCTGGGGTTTTGCTCCGTTCCATAGGTATAAAATTCATTCATAAATTTTGCAATTAAAAAGAAAAGGGCTCTCCTTTTGAATGTGCTCTACTTCCTCCCACAGCAGAGAGGAGCAGCATTGCAAGCAGCAGAGGGAAGGAGGTGCCCACTGTGAGCTGAGTGTGGTGCCGCGCTCCAGATGTCCCCTTTGTTTCAGCACCATTGTTTCCCCTGCGTGGAGCAATTTCAATTTCTCATTGGCAAGGGACATTGTTTTCTGCATAATTTTTTTTAAAATCACTCTTAATCATGAGCCGTGTGGGGGCATTTAGGCTCACAATAAAGAAAAAGCCTACTGGGTGAAAAAACAGCAATCTCCCTGGCTTTGATGGCCTTGTTGGCCAGAATTTGGGACTCCAGCAAACAGTTTGCTACAGCTCTATTTAAAACAGAAAGGGCTGGCAAATACTGTAATGTTGGATGGTGTTTGCTAAAGCCTTTGTTAATATGTTAGATAACCTATTAATCACAAGTTTTATATTCATATGCAAAATGTGCCTGAAGGACAATTTAATCATTTATTACAAGCACTTTATATATTTACTTTCCCTTTCCCTTCCCATTGGAAGAGCCATGCTCGTTAACCAAGCCTGATGCGGGAAGATGATCACAATGGGATGAGGCGTTGAGCACATGCCCAGGCAAGAGCTGTACGGGAAAGAGAAAACTGCAGAAAGTTTCAGCACACACTGTGTTTTGATACGACTTTAAAAGCCAGCATGATTAAAGTAATTGAAAGATTCTGTCTTATTTTTCTTTTTCCTGTCTCATCTTGTCATATTAAAGGTTTTTAAGGACTTTAATTAGGTATACTGGTTACAGAGATGACAGAGAGCAACCCTTTCCACGCCCAGACACTTGATGGAAGATCATTTTGGCAGGTACAGGCTGGCAAGCTGAACCGATATAAATTAACTAGGAAAGGTTAAATTAGAGTAAAATGAGGATTACAAACCAATATATGAAGCAAAGTTAATTCTGAGATGGAGCCTCGTTGTGTCCGCTGTGCTTAGTCATAGTTGTGTGAATGACTTGGGATTAGGAAGCCCTTCCATGTGGATCATAGTTAATTGTTTATTTAGATACAAATTCTAATGTGCAAGGATGTGTTAAGATTGTGAACTATTGGTGGAGGACAGAGCACCTCTTGTACAAAACTATTTTTAAAGCTGTGTAATGTTTTATGTAGAAAGCAAAGCAGAGCTAACAAGCATTTGTGAAGGCTACCATCACATGAAGAGTAGAGGCAGCAAGATGACTGAAGGCTGCTTCTCTGCAGCCACCTGGACCTTCAGCCTGTGCCCTTGGGCCAGTGTGTCAATGTCCTCCTCCTTCAATGACTCAAAGTATGGCCAAAATGTATTTCATACTTCATATATCCAGCTTTGCTCTTTGGACACACTGGGGAGAGCAGTCTGTGAGGGCCTAGGGGGTCGGGGCAGTAGGGTTCATCAGGGTGAGGGGTTGGCAGGGAGCTGGGGGGTGGCTCTGGTCAACCCCCATGCTCAAAACTCATGTTGGGGCAGGTTTCCCAAGGTCTGGTACTGTTGCATTTTGGGTATCCACAGGGATACTCTGTATGTTCTCCACCCTCTGGACTCCCCAGGTCTTGCTTCAGCACATCCATGTCTTCTTTGCATGGCCTCTCCTGGCCTGCTTCTCTCTTCCCATCACCCCAGCACTCCCATGCAGGACTTTGCACTTCCATTTCTTAACCCTTGGAGATCCTCTGGGCCTGTTTTCCCACAGGCAGCTGTGTGCCACATGGGATGTTGTTGCAGATCATCCTGGCACCAAGGGACAACCTCAGCTGTGAGCCTCTCAATTGTCCTGTTCAGTCAGAACCAAGAATTTTGGATGGACCTAATTGGTGTGCGGTTTTAGTGCTTTGTGTGTTGGTGTGTGAAAAAAATGGCAGTGTGATAGCAATGTATAAATGTTAACATATTTAAATTATTTTGCAGTGTGCAGGAAGACAGTATTGCCTATGGATTGTTCTAGATCACTTTTTTAACTCTCATGTAGTCTAATTGAGCAGTGCAAGTAAGCAGGGTTTGATCCTATCCTTTATCTGAATTTAAAAAAAAATCATTTTTGTATTTTATCAGGATGCCTGTTTGTTTTAGCATTCAATTACAGGGTTCATTAAATAAAAATCCCCATAGCTATATTTCATCTTTTCTTTGCAAAAGGATATTGCAGCATATATTATGTACACTGTACATGAGCCAAAAGCTAAGAGGCCATCTCCTTGCCTACAGTTGAGAAATAACGTTTACTGCCTAAAATTAATAAAAAGTTGCAGTAGTTTCAAAATGAGAGCCTCGCACACTGGCATTGCATTGACATGATGGGCTGCTTCCGCAGCACCATTTTACAGAGCTATAATAGCCAGTAAAAATGTTTTAAATGTATTTGTCAGTTTTTAATCTACCCTTTGTTAGAGTGTTTGGTGTTGAAGTATTTTTTCAAGGACTTTGTGGTTGTTATAGATATTTTATTCCATAATAAGGATTATGTTGCATGTAATCTTGTGAAAAGATATAGTAATTTATTTGAAAACTGCTAAGGAGTTGGTAAGTATTTAAAACCTCAATTATATATAACCTTGTTTTCTCTTGCAGCTCATCAGATACAATGCCTTTGAAGAGGGTGAACAGCCTTTTGCCACAAACTGCCAGTGTCGACATTGACTTGCTGCCACTGGTCCACCCTGCCCAGCTCTTTGTGCATCTCCCAACGACCAGACAGGGTGTAAAGAAGCCGAATCTACCACGGAGAGCTCTCAGGCTGGGGGAAGTTGTTCTTTAAAGCTCTGGAGAAATGCAGTGCATTTATCAGCTTTGAGTGGATATCATTGTGTTTATAACAGAGTGGAGGCACCATGCAATTTTGCTCTTGAAATTGGTTTATATAGATGACTGGTTGCTGTGAAGTGTGTGTCAGAGTTGCATGCAGCCGTTATGAAGTAGTACAATTGTCATCGCTTCTTACATGGTTGTTGAGAAGAGCTTGAGAGCCCAGCTCAGTCAGCTGTTGAATAGATAACCCAATACAGTTAACGTGGCATACATTGTAAAGAATTACATGCCTGCTACAATGAGCTCTGGGCCTTTGGTCTAGATAATAATCCTGGTGGGTGTACCACGTGTAGTGGCTGTCTGATCGCTCAGATATGACTGACGAAACATAAAGAAAAATGTCAGTCGGCTAAAAGAAAAATGCTGCTGTAAGTTTGTTTAAGGTTCATGTAAACGGCTGTGCTTTTTTATTTAACCCCGAGTCTCCCAAAGACTTGGCTGTCAAGCTAAATATGGATCTGTATGTAAGCTGTGGGTGAAACTCCATTTTAGATGGTGTTGAGATTTGTCAGCTGTGATAAAGGCTTTGGCCATCTTTTCCCATCATGGTGGCCTTGTCTTCTCATTTAACAGCAAGCAAAGTCCTTGTGTCAGTTTACATTTGCAATGCGTGAGCCTAACACCACTAAAAAGGGTGAATGTTTGCGACTTTTTAAGTGCTGTGGCATAATTCATTTCAGTGACTTGAAGTAAGTCAGAATAATCAAGCTGGCAATATGGACTGGACTGGAGGAGTAGTAATTAATACTGCTAGTGAATTTATTTCATTTTTTAAAATAAGAACTGCCGTGTTGAAGTGCATGGCTGCTTGCCACTCAAAAGGAAGTCAGCCATTGGAAAGATGAACGTACATGAGAAAAACATCCATGGCCTTGAGGCATTGCAAAGACTGCGAAATCAGAGGAGGTTAAGGTCAAGGCCGATGTCACTCTGGACTACTGCAATGGCACCTATAGTCACCACAACTTATGTGAGGTTGCTCTGCATTGGTCTCTGGCAACTTTAACCCCTTGTGCTTCTCCTGCAGTTTGCGATAGATAGTCTATCAATTGCAAGGGCTGGATGTGGAATGCATGAATGAGAGGGCTAGGGGCTGACGTGGCCACCATGGTGTAGATACCTGTTGCTTACACAATGCTGTAAGGGAGGGCTAAGGTCCTGCCACTCCATGGATATATTGATTTTTTTTTTCTTTTTTTTTCTTACTAGGAAATCAATATTTTTTTAGATTGCTTAAATTTTGTGCATATCTTCCTGTTTGGAGATAAGAACAACTTTGCAGTAATAGAATTGCCCATGCTGAAACTACAGCTGGGATCCTCATGTGACTTGCATGAAGTTCAAGCAGCCAGTTCAAACCTTCCCTCACCAGAGGGACTACAGGGACCCATGGTACGACATCAGTTCACGAGACACTAGTTTCAGAGGCTTCTTTTTATACCAGGACAGAAATATTACTGGACCAACTTGACAACTGAAAATTAATTTACAGGTATTTTTATATCATGTAAATAACTGTTTGAGAATCACTTTTATTTACCTGAGTGACTGTAGGGTGGAGTTTGCCAGAAAGATGGAACCCCTTCAAAAAGCCCAAGCAGGAAAAGCTTATTTTTCATGACATAGATTGCAGCCACTCAATTT